CAGTGAGAGAGTCCCTTACTAAAACTGGCATCTGCCCCATAAAACAGTTCTATGCACACACGTTGCAGCTGGACCCTTCTATACCTTTTGTAAAACTGTGGCTATGAATGCAATGGGAATTGAAGAAATTATGCTACCAAGTGCTTCGTGCTTTTCTGGTTCCCAGCACTTTAAAGATGTTCTCTTGTAAACCTGGATGAAACTCCAGTGAGTTCAGATGAATTAAGATCTCCATTTTGTAGATGGGGACATGGAAGCAGAGAAGTCGTCTTGCCAGAAGTCACACAGGAAGTCAGTGCCAAACTAGGGACTGGAACTCAGAATGTCTGTTTCCTGACTCCCAGGTTTTGGGCCCACTCCTCTGTCCCAGGTGGGCCTTGGACACAGTTCCAGGCCAAAGGCTCTAGCCAGCTATAACCCAAGACCAATGCTGCTTCACCAGATCCTGCCTGTGAAAGTCCATGCCTCTTCTTTCACTCTGGTTCTGTATGTAACCTGATGCTTGCACTCCCTCACCCCATGGGCACCAAGAGCATGTGAACACCACACGAGGGCTTTCTCCCTGAGCACAGAACAGCAAAAGTTGCCCTCCACCTGCCTCCAGAAGTGGGTGGTCATGTCCATAAATAGTCAGGTGGCCAGTGGGCTGTGGGGAAGGGAACATGATGGACTTCACCTGAAATGGGTACAGAAGATGTGCGAGATGACAGCATTTGTCCATGAGGTTTTCTTGCTGTGGTGCATAGGACACACTCGGTGGACAGGGGGAAAGGAAATAAAGGGCAGGTGAGGCTGCCCACCAGCTATCAAACCAATACACGCAGATGATATCCTAGGACAGCCAGAAGCTTCCAGCCCAGATTGTCCCCCAGCATGTTTGTAAATCAGCAGGGCTTCGTTAATCCATCGTCATTTCCTCTTTGAAATCCAGTGAAAATGGACCATTGTCACCAGTCTCTACAGCGTTTGCAGGCAGCTCTGTAGGAAGAGGATTGTGCTGCCAAGCGGATGGGCTGTGCTCAGATACCAGGCGGCAGCTTGCACAAAGGCAGCTGGCTGTACCAGACCTGTCCTTAATGAGGGGGAGTTGAGCAGGGAGCTGGGAGGCCTGGTGCTAGAGCTGCAGGAAAGCCCACTGAGCCCTGGCTGCACTGCATCAGCAAGTCCAGTCAAAGAGCTGTGTGTGCATGAACTGTCTGTACAGTATTGACATACTTGTATATAGGGAAGTCCTCGGTAGCCAAACAGACAAGGGAGTATGATGCAGCTCAGCACTGCATGAAGCAGGGCAAGGGATCAAAAGCTTTGACAGAGTTGAGAAGGACGAATGGCTAGAAACAGACCACAAATAATCACCTTAGCAACAAAGGAGTGTTTCTGACTGCTCTGCTCTGCTCTTAACAGGTCCGTGGAGGCCCTTTTCCGAGGGGCCCCATTAGCTATGAAAAGGGCAGCTGTTTATTTGCATTAAAATCAGGGAAACACAATTATCTGGCATCTTTCTGTGATGCTGCATAGCAGAGTCTTCCAGGTATCTCGTGCTGCTTCTGATCTCTGCTCTCACCACTACCAGCCTGGCTTTTCACACTCAGACAAGGGCAGGGCCGGGTTTATGTGAAAGATGACTTAAACCAGCATGTTGTGCACAGCCAGCAGACTCCCCAGGGGTGGTCAGATTCAGACACTGTGCTCACTACCTCCGCGGTGCCAGTGTAACTATATTGATGAAAACTTACAGGAATGCTAGGGTTCAAATGCATAATCATCTCACTGCTGGGCTTGTCTCTGGGGCACAGCAGTGAGGGGCAAATTGGAGAAGGCTGGCAGTTCAAGGCCACCTGCAAGCAGCCTTAGGGAGAATGCAGGTCCACACACGTCCACGAGGGCAAAATCAAGCCTCTCAGGATATCTTACTGCTGGTAAGGGAGGAAGCTGGAAGGGCCAGATACCAGGTTGGGATTGTGAGGCTGGCAGTTGGAAGAAAAACACATCACCATTTGACTTGTAAACTGAGCATATCTAATCTGGAGACACTATAATAAACCCACTGCCACAATTGTATTGTACAGTCACTTTTCTGAGTACAACCAGATTTTAAACTCAGGGTCCAAAACGTTTTAGCAGCAGCTGGTTACCAGTAAGCTGTCCACAGTAAAAACATGGATGGTCTAGCTATGAGAAGCAGCTGAGAACCTGAGAAAAATACCAGGTCACAGATCTTTCCACCATGCAAAGTGGCCATGAATATTTACCCGTCCTGGCTGAACTCACCCACTGCAGGGTGGGAAGATTTGCTGCCGGGGCGCAGAGTTGATTAGAATTCCGAAGTGCTGAAATTCTGCCTCTGCCGACGCTGCCGGCCCAGAGCCGGCAGCTCGGTTTTCCACAGCCTCAAAAGCCTGGGAACAAGGGTAAAGTGAAGCTGCTCTGTTGTGATTTTCAGTTCTCTGAAGAGCCATGTACACGGTTGGTGATTTTCAGGCCCTAAATTCGCATTGCTCTTCATAAAATCTCAACTTCTCTCCTCGCACTTGCAGTCCAACACGTATCAGTTTCAGGTGGTCTAAGGTGTAAGATGGGCTCAGTGTGTGGATCATGAATGCAGGTTTGAGATCCTAGTTGTTATCAGGCTGCCTGAGCAAAATGGAAAGAACTTCTTCTTGTTGTTTTTCTTGTGATGAAAATATAGCTGACTGAGCCAGCAAGTTCTCAAACTGGCTGTTGTGTGTGCGTGTGTATGTTCATTTTCTTCTAGGTCATAACCCCCGACACCCACCTGCCTCCTCCAGCACAGTTGCACTTCCTGGTGCAAAACCACAATCAAAGAACCATAGAAAAATAAGGCTGGACGGGTCCTCTGGTAGCTGCACAAGGAGGGAGTGCAACTTTGCTCTGAGTCAGGTAGGCAGTGTCAGGGTGACACTGGTTTGCAGTTGGATGCTATTAGTTGTGACTGAGTTTACACTGGCTGAACACACTGGAAATAGCAGCTCAGCTGATGGTCTTCCATGAACGATGTTGATTGTTCAGAGGAGCCAGGACCCAAGTAGACTGATTGAGTAGTCTCTGCAGGCCACAAGTGGGTCCTATGAACACTGGCTTGCACTGACCTGCTACTATTGAGGAGAAAGGATTTCAGCCCCTCTGCTAGTTACTCAGAGCCATCCCCAGCTACAAGACCTCACTGCTTTTCAGGCTTTCATGCTGTGCCCTAAGGGTCTGCCACAGCACTTGCTGCTACCTCTGGCTAGATGCTGCCCACTCAAACTGTCTTACTAAGGCTTCATCATGCTTTGAAGGAGCTGGGCTCTCACTGTAGCCCATAGGATGTGTCAGGGCCTGGAACTCCTGTTTTGGCTTCCATGGATCCCTCAGGGGCAGCAGGACAGGGTTTCAATAGCCACAGTTTGCATCAGAGGTTATGGGAAGAGCTAGGTTATATATAATGAGGGAGGGCAAGGGAGCCCCAGAGATCTGATAGCAGGGACAACAGGTGTCTCTAGGCACCGCCTGCTGTGGTTTCACAGGACCTTCACCCCACCGGAGTGCCATCGGGTGCTGCGATATTCCCTCACTCGTGGAACACATACTGTCCCCATCAGTGCTACAATGTTCCCAAGGCAGTTGTTGCCACCACCTTTGAAGTACTTACCTCATACAGACCAGAGTTGCTGCACACAGCAGCCTCCTACTGTGAGCTCTCAGCAATCCCTGGGGAGTCAAAGGACAAAACTGCAAGTGGAAAGACATCCTAGGAGAGCAGACGGTCACTTCAGTGGGCAGAACAAGGTGGGACTCTACCCTGTTTACCCAAATCCCAAGCCCTTGAATTTAAAAGCAACCCCCCAATTATTAGATTCTAGACATAAAACATTAAATTTAATTTTCCAATAACTATTGGAGGGTCAAATTCATCCCCTCAACCATTGCTACAAGGAAAGCAGCAGCTGGGGGGTAGGCAGCCTGCTCCATGCCCCTTGTCCCCCTGCCACCTCTCCTCCCTTAATGTCTCCCCACCCCCACCTCACACTTGTTCCCCACTGGTACCTGTCCATTTTCTTGCCTTACCTTCGCAGCGACTATCTCTGATGGAGGGGAGAGGGCTATGGAGCACTCAGCCAGGCCAGGCCAGGCAGTAGCAATGGCTCGGGCTCCAGCCTCCACCACCAGTTGAGGTCAGGGCTAGAGCTGCAGCAGCTTCCCCACCACTCCACGTACCCCTTCCCTGCGCTCCCTCCTTCCCCATGCTCCCCTTGCTCTGAACTTCCACTCTCCCATGCCCTTCCCCCCATGCTCTATGCATCCCCTACCTGGCACATGAGCCACCCTGGCCTCGTCTGAAGCCACAGCAACTGCTTGCCTGGCCTGTACTCAAATCTAAGAAGGGTTCCCCCTCCCCCCATGTTGAACAAGGGAAAAAACCTTGTTTTAGATTGGAGTAAATATGGTACCAGTCCTGTAGGTGCAACTGAAGGGGAGCTCTAGAGAGCACCAGGCTCGTCTAATCCAACCAGGGGGAGGCCAACATTGTGGCCCCACAGTGACCCGAGGTGTTGATGCACAGGAGAGTGAGCACAGCTGGCTGCTAGTAAGCAGCACATGCACAAGGAGCACCAAAAGGGATGCCCTTGCCTGGATCCTTCCTGTTCCCTCCCTCGATTGTTCCAAGCCGAACCCAGAAGAGACAATCAGCTTACGTTGCAAAGGCTTTTTTGTTGGCAGTTATTTCTAGGAAATGAGGGATGCTGCAGGTAAGCACACAGGAGGAACAGACTGCAGATCCCAGCAAAGGGCCACAATAATGTGGCTCTTGCAGACCTGAACAGCACTCAACAGATGCTGCTGTAGCATCATCTCAGGAAGTTTGGACTTGCCAGTTGGCTGAGGGTAAGATCAGGTGGTGTGTGCAGCAGAGAAGAAATCCTAACTCTTCCCCTTGGAGTACAGCAGAGTTGTGGCTTTTCACAGTGAACACACACGCAGACGCACACGAGAGCCTGGACAGTTCTTATGAAAAGACTTTTATTGAGTTCAGGAGGCCGAGAATTTCCGCAGGGTGATGACAATCAAGGCCACGATCACAGATGTGCCCAGAAGAGCGGCAATGACGATGGCACCGATAGCTCCAGGACCCAGAGCCCCTGCAGGGACAGAGAAAGCACAGAACAGGCTGCGGATGACCTGCAGGGCTGGCAGGTGCTCAGAGCCGAACACACCCGTTTGCCTCTGAGCGAGGCTGTGTGAGGGACAGGGGTGTTTGTTCCCCAGAACCAAGTGCAGAGCTGCCAGTGCCCTGTGCATGCAGTCACCAACACTCAAGTCCAGGGAGGCAGCCTGATGGTGCCCACAGAGCACCAGTCCTGGCCCGGGTCACTGCATACACAAGGGGGTGGGCGATCATGATCAGAGAGGCCTGTGTCAAATGGAAAAGGCAAGAAATGAAATATTAAACTCCCCAAACCCGGCCAGCTCCAAGGCGAAACCAGGCAGAGAGACACAAATAGTGATGCCCATTTACTTATGGTAGCCCACAGCAACAGCCCCAAGGAGCCAATGCTACAGCTGTCATGTTCCTATCCCAGGGCCCTAAAGCAGCCCCTTCTTTGGGGGGTGAGAGGATGAGAAGGAGAGGAAGAGGCAAAGAGCAGCAGTCTTGCCACGAGAGCCAGCCCACCAGTAATACAAAGGTTCTGGACCAGTGATAAGGCCCTCAGCAGGGGGTGAAATGGAGGGGGAAGGCAAAGGAGGGGCAGGAAAACACAAGGATCAGTGCATTGTAGTTCCTCTCTGCACACTGGCTAGAGGCTGGTGATGTGCAGCTGCCTGCACAGCGAAGGGGCTGTAGAAGCTGTCCCCCACATCTGCCTGAGGGCAGTTTTGTGACCTGGGAGCCTTTTTGGAGCAGTTGCAACTTTCATCTATTGCAGCTTGGATTTCAGCTTTCATCTATTGCAGCCCCACCATTTCTGTGACGTAGTTCCACATGGGCCTGACTTCTCCTTGCCCCCGATCACAGCATATCATGGCCTCACCCCAACCCCCTCTCTGCAGAAATATCACTTCTCAGCTGATCAGTGAGCTATGATCAAGTGATTGCAGCAGAGAAAGGTCCATTGCCCTGACAGAGGCATCCAGGGGAGTGGTTTGAACTGGGGCTCTAAGGTTTCCCCAAGCACCTTTAGGAGTGACACCATGACCCTTGCCAGCCACCCAAGGCAGCCACCTCAGGCCACTCTCAAGGGTGGTATTGTGTTGCAAGTCAAGAGACAGTTGCTATGAAGGAGGCAACTGGTCAGCTGGCCAGCCTCTAACTGCTGGAGGGCTTGAGCACAGCCCCCTGCCAGCCCATCTACTCTCCGAGACTCACCAGGGAATTTGGTGCATTTCAGCTTCCTCCTCCCTGTCTGTCCCAAGTTCACTAGCTACAGACTTCAGAAGCCTATGGGGAAAGGTTTGCTTCAGCGCCCTGCTGCTGCCTTTACATTTTTAACAAAGAGCTGTGATTATCACGGAGACAGCCTCCACCTGGCCTCACCAAACAGATTTATTCTGGAGAAGCATTCATATCAACTAGCCTTGTGCTACTCAGATATAATTAGGAGGGATTCAGAGATGGGGGATAATACAGTAGGGAGGGAGGGAGAACAGCAATGGAGTGGGAAGACAACTTGATCCACACACAGAGGGAACCTAGGGAGCTTTTCAGCAGGCAGAAGCTGCAGATAAGGCTCTTGCATAGATGCAGCAAGACTGTGGGGAAAGGCAAAGAGGTGAGTGCTGGGTGAATGAAGAAAGCAAAGACACACGGGGTGCCCTTATCAGGCAGGGCACCAGGCTCCTGGAAAGCAACTCAAGGTAAAGCAGTGCCTGAGATGGTGGCCAGGGTTGAGAGAGTAGTAATCAGTAAGGAGAACTGACTCCTTGGTTTCTCCACTGCCAGGAACAAGGCTCCTGTTAGGCAAGAAACCAGAGAGGGTTTGACAAACCACAGCACAGACTCGGAGCATCGGGAAAGCCTTAAGTAGCTAAGATGATTTGGCTTTCCCAACTAGGTTCAAAGCCTGGGGAGCTGACAGCGAGACCCGCAGGAAGCAAAGCACTGAACCTGGACCGAACAGGATGAGAGGGGACAGAACATTGCCTATACCCACCTGTTTTCCTCCTGGAGTCAGGAAGCCTCCTGGGGCTGCTCATCCCATTGGGCTGCATTTTTGGGGGCCAAGAAGCCCTTTGTTTTGTGTAGAACAACAGCTGGATGGCTTCTATGGCCAATATCTGGCCCTGTGAGAGACCACAGCCCCAGACAGCTGGTTCAAAGCACTAGACTTGGCTCAGGACCAAGTCAGCCCCATTCAAGATTTATTCCCAAACCCAGGTAAACATTTGCTGTCAATGAAAAGGCTTGAATGCAGGTGTCTATGTGGAAAGCGCAGAGCCTTTGCAGCAACTCATGGGAGGCTGCCCAGATCCCAATACAGCAAGACCTATACCTACCATTCCCATCATCCAGCCGGTGGAGGTGGGTTGTGTCCTCGGGCTCATACTCCGAGGTGTAAGGGGGGAAGCCTGTGGAGTCAGAGACGTGGGCTGCGGTGGTGGTGTCAAAGGGGCCTGCTCCTGAAGGTAGCTCCGGCGGCTCATTCCACAGTGTGGGGACTGGCCCCTGTGGGTGCTCTGCTGCAATGTAAGCACAGATCTCTGTCACTGCCCTTGGATGATCCCTTCGTTCCCTCCCAGCACTGGAAGGAGATTACGTGGATCCCTGCCTGCCCAGCCACGTGCAGAGAAAACAGCTGTCGCCAGGACACCCTGCAGAGGGGCCTCTGCCCAGTGCTTCTGAAGCCAACATTTCCTCCCTCTGAAAAAAACACATGGTTGAGGTGGTGACAGTTGTCTGTAGATGGGTGACCCTGGGGGAGCTACAATGCAGGGCAAATTTGGCAACAGAAGCCAAGTGACCCAGGGATCTACGAGCTGAAAAATCTCCTTTGCAATAGTTTAAATGCCACATGCAAGAGGTGCAAAAGCAGCCCCAGTAATGAGAGCACTGTCTGCATATCCCTGCAGAAAAAGCTGCTTGGTGGAGCAGAGGAAAACATGGGTTTAGCAAGGGCCCCATCAGCTGACAACTGCGCTGCTGGAAGGAAGCAGGGTGTCCCAGAGGATAGAGCTGCTACCCAGGCCCAAGTGGCAAAGCTTCCAGGGATTCACTGTAGGTCCTGGAACTGGAATCAGCTTTTGTAACCTGTGTGGGAAAAATTAGTTTAGGCGTGAGAGGCTAGAGGAGCAGCAGGCAGTCAGGCTGTCTGCGGACACGTGGCTATAATGCCAACTGCAGTAGCAACATCCCAGTGTAACCCATTCCATTAATAAAAGCAGCCAGCTGAGTTCTCTTGTGATCCAGCAAACAGCACAGGAAACAGTTGAGACTGAGTAGAAAGGTGGCTTCTGTAAAGGTAAATGGGGGAAGGGAACTGGCAGCTGGGATATAACAGGGTGGAAGGTGGAAATCAGAAGAGTCCAATGGTAAGCACAGCCCATGGCACAGCAATTGAAGAGACCACCATTACACAAAGGTCTCTGGAAGACAATGCTCCCAAGCATCAATGTTTCAGCACACCCCACTGTGGCAACAAGTGTTTGTTTGCTAGAAAAAGTGCTGAGCATACACCGTACATGTGAGCTACTTTGGTCACAGTCTAGGGCTGCACTGGTGCTCTTGGGCAGGGGTGTCTGGTGGGTCCATGTGATGTTACTTCTCCCCCAGGCTGAACCTTTATGGCTTGTTGCATTTGCACTGAGCACATCTGCAAGTGACTTTCCCCTGCTGCTCGGTTCTGCCAGCAGAGGAACAAGCCCCGTTTTGCATGTCAGAGGTTGTGTTAATGGGTTTGTGCCTGTGCAACCAATAAGCAGTGTTTGGAGGTACTTGCAGTGCACTGCAACATGGAAAAGAACCATTGTGTTTGTTCAGGGCTGTTAAGCTTTCAGGCTTCTGTCCTCTCCCAGAGGCAACGGAGATGCCAGTGTTAATGGCAGCTCTCAGCCTGAGGGGGTAAAAAAAGCCCTAGCAGCAGCAGTTCAGGCAGCATGCATCCCCCCGGAAGAGCAGCAGACAGGAGTCTTTAGACCTTCCCCCCAGGTCGCTCCAAAAGATTAAAAGGAAACTGCGTTCTCTTTGATGTTGCAAGCTCGCGCCCAGTTATTTCTTTTCCCAGAGGGGTTGGTTGGGCCTAAAAGTCTTTCCTGTTTGCATGTGGCTGGGTCTGGCCATCAGCATCAATGCTCATTTTGTTCAGGCTGGACAACACAGAGGCCCCAGTGAGAATAGCAGACATTCCACAGGCCCCTGCAGAAACTGTCGGGAATGTCACACCGGGATGGAAAAATCTGACAGGGTGGCCAAGGCCAGGGACATCTAAACTGGTGATATGGTTATCTGGGCTGAAGAAGAGGGTGACAGGGGTGCTGACACCGACAGCCCTGCTTCCTGTGCTGAGAAAACCATAGCCATGTCCAGGGCAACTGGTAGAACATGCTGCTCAGCTCGAGTGCTTTGGGCAGAGGGCAAAATGCCAGAACCTCATGTGATCCAAGCAAGGGCTGGGCTTGTTGACAACAGCAGGCAGTTCAGTGGGGACCAAGCACTCCTATGTCACACAACTCATGGTCCATGCACCAGGAAAGTAAGGGAAAGGGACGCTGTAAATAAGTACCACGTCAATTAATGTATTAACCTTCAGCAAGCTGGGCACCCAGGTCCTCCACCTCCTTCCCAATGGCAGCCCTATACTAGGGGCTGCAGAGCAGTCTGTAACTGGAAACAGAGTGGGTGCCATCAGTGCAGCAAAGCCTGGGAGGGTCTTTAGAAAGGCTGACAGAAAATACCATGACCTGAGGGTGCCAGGACTCCATGTAGCCTTGAGGATATGCCCACAGCACCGTGCTTTGGGTCCTAAACAACTAATCGACAACGCAGCACGTTTTTCAGAGCCACCTACTGGTGCCTGGTATATACCTATTAGTGGGACAGACATGCCTTTTAGCCAGCCAGTGGTTTTAGCCACCACAGGACGGATCAAGAGCAACAAGAGACTTAGGGGTAAAACTTCATTAGGGCCAAGGAACCAAACTGATATGGGGCTATTTATAATTAGTGCCAAGGGCACAATTAACCTATTGTTTAAGCATAGACTGATGTGACTGAAACATTTGGAAGCCTAATTTCTAAACTGCTTTGACAGTCGGGGAACAGCCCATTACCATTTATTACATCTTTGCTTGCCATGCCAGCAAAACTAGTGCCAGCCCTAACATTGGAGCCATTAGTGGCTGGCAAAAAAGACAGCTCACCTGGGAGAGAGCATTGTTTAATGGCAAGGACCTTCCCGACTTCAAAGTCAATACAGTAGCACACTGTCCTCATGCACAATTGGGTTAGGAAAGACAACGCTCTCCTGGCAGGGAACAGACACTGTTCCTGGGGACCCTGTGCAACAGATGTGGTGCAGTAAAAAGGAGTGTTCCAAGAGTGACCGTGTAGAGCAGTTTGGCTCTGATACATGCCGTTAACATGGCCACAGAAAGACCCCTTGTACTGACAGAGCAGGATGCAGCACTGCACGTCTCTCGAAGGGCAGCTAGAGGCCTCTAACTCCTGAATCCTTGTAGAGATCTACAGTGGCTGCCATGAAGGGTAACAGCTGGTGCGGGAGATGCAGAGCTCAGTTTCAGGACAGTTAATCCAAGGGGGAACTCATTCACTTCAAATGTTTTTACTTTGCATAGCTGCTTTGGCTCTAATTCACATCCTGCAGCTTTTGTACCTTAGCTTGGTAATTTTTTTGTGCAATTAAAACTATGACAGCTCCCCTCTGAGGGTGGAACAACATGCATTAACTCTGAATTTTCTGCTGAGTTTGTGTGGTTTCACTCTAACGGAACTTCAGTTAATAAGGAAAACACATCCTCTTTTCAGCATGTTTTGCAGGCTGGTTGTCAGCCCAGAACAAGAACCAAGACACAAACATGCAGGCACTGACACATCCAACCATGCTGCAGTCACACTACCAGTCTTGTGCAGGCCTCTGCTGTGATCAGCACAAGAGAGGAAGCTAAGATGCCAATGGAGTTCATCCCCCTGGAGCAGAAGCCCTGCAGCTTGGGCAGCATGCAGTTGTTTTTATACTAGTAACGTGCTTTCCATGACTTGCCCTTGCTTTTCCCCCTTCCAAACTAGCATAGACTCAGACATCCTCGTTCCTGCTCTTTTGAAATGAGGCTGAACGATGTGTCTTCATATGATCCTGCCCAGACTTGTTGCTTTCAAAGATGAGAAGCGGCTACTGCCCGTGGCCATCCTACTTCAGTGGCCAGTAATAGTGTGGGCATTAGCTCTGGAGTTTCTGGCTTTGGACAAGACAAGCAGATCCTTCACTAGCAACATTTAAACAGCATCTCTGTTGCTCATTTCTTTGGTAAAAACAAGAAAAAACACCGAGTTTATTAAGTCTGAGGTCAATTGAATAGATGCTCCAACAGTCCAAATCCCCAAGGTCTGGAATAGCCTGCCACTGGAGGTGGTTCAAGCACCCACATTGAACACCTTTAAGAGACATTTGGATGTTTATCTTGCTGGGATCCTATGACCCCTGCTGACTTCCTGCCCCTGGGGCAGGGGCTAGACTTGATGATCTTCCGAGGTCCCTTCCAGCCCTAATGTCTATGAAATCTATGAAAATGCTTCCAATATAACATCCAAAAGCCCCAAAGGGGAAGTTAGCAGATAACAAAAAAAAATCCCAACTAAATATATACATGCTTGTAACCCTTTCAGCCCTATCTTTTAGGATTATATAGGACAGTGTCACAGGTGCCAGACTGAGTCAGGGACTTTGGTTCTATCCCCACATCTTTGCTGCTGACTGGCTGGATGACCTTGGGCAGGTCAAACCACTTTCTCTCCTCATCCTTCAAGTTTTTCCATTGGTAAAATTGGGATAAGGATTCTGACCTCTTTTGCAAAGTGCTTTGGGATCTGAACAAGATAATGTGCTGCATATGAGTGAGTGCACCTATAAACCACATGCTTTTTTACCTGTGCAGCAGACACGGCTTCACACTTGCAACTGTGGTTTCAGTTGTTAGGTCATTCAGTGGGAGAATGACTTACCAGACCTTGAGACTGCAGTTATTTCATCACAGTAGATAGTCACAGGAGACTGATCTTCATCATCTAAGTGAACACTATGATAGTGTGCAAGCTAGGCACATTTCTCTTCTAAATAAAAATAATTATGCAAACCCAGTATGGGATGTACATTTACTAACAACAGAGTTTAGCATAGGAAGGACAGTGTATACTTTTGGCACCCAAATATTACATAAGACAAGCACAAAACTTATTTTGCATTCTCTCTGGGCTCTGGCAAATCAGCATTGACCACCCAAGCATTCAGTCTTGTGGTCTTTGTAGTCATTAGCAACAACTTGATGTTGAACAGTTTTTTCCCTGGGTAAAACCACCTGAATGCAAAGGCCTATTGTGGGGTATGGTCCTCTACTCAGGGGTGAATGTCACTCTTTCAGCTCCTGTTACACCCATAACAGATAACCCATTACGTCCCACCCTGTTCTACCTTCTGCCTGACTTTAGACTAACACAGCGAACTCTCTCA